GGGAGTGGAGGGCAGGTGACAGGCTGGGGACAGTCACTTTTGCCTTTGTTTGGGGTCTTTTTTAGAGAATAAACTCCGCTGTCTTTTGTAAGGTTTAAACCTTATATTTAGGCGAAACTGACTTCAAAGAAATGTTGCTTTTGGCATAGGACCGCTAAGGGAATCGTTGGGAAGTTCTATGAATGCTCCCTCTTACATCACACCAACTTCATGTCAAAACATGTTCAACTGGGGATTTTTTTTTTTATCGTTTTTTAGTCAAAATCCATTCGTTCTACTTGTGGGAAAAAAAAAACCCTCATCCTAAAGAGGATGACTGGCAACCAATACAATAGAGAAGATAGTAAATTGAGTGTAGGATACAGGTGCTAAAAGAATCAGGATATGAAAACAGAGGTCATCTCACCTCAGCATCGTTAATAGTCTCTTTTGCACTTACCAAGGTCTGATAAGGAGTCTCACGTGGGTTCACAGGTGATTGTTCCCCTCTACATGCCTTTTCAATTTTGCTAAATAGCCTACAGTTGACCTGCATGATGTCTATGGTCTTAAGATCGCAACCTTTCAAACTCATGCCTATTCGACCAGGTCTCTGCTGGTTATGTCCTGATTAAAGGTCTCCAAAATGTTCCTCTCCACGAAAGAATGTTTTTCTTGGTAAAGAATGTACTTGGGAAAGGTGTCTTCCAAGCACATACAATAAAGATGCAAACAATACCATGTTAAGTGTAAAAAAGCAAAATACAGAAGGTCCAAGCTTGTCCATGGTCCATAACCCCATTTTTCTAATTGTACATGCCTACCCTCAAAGGAAGCTTGTTGACCGTGGTTTGATGTAGACACTTGATTACTTTTCTTTCTTCGTTCCACTCTGCTTCAATTACTTCTAAAGAACATGAATAGCCCCCTAATAAAACGATTTTTAAAAGAAGAACATGTATAGCTTTTACAATTTGGGAAGTGAGTTAGTTAATTGTGCCAGCCTGGCCGATAATCACATGTGGGGCTGGTTGAAAGGCAGAGGGATAAATGGGTGGTGAAGCCTCGCCTTTCTAGTTCTCGGGTCTCTTGTTTTGTGATGGTTGCACCGGGTGCAGCTGCCTTAGCAGTTCCCTGCTTCAGCTTGCAAGATTGACTTCCTACAAGACATCTCCAAGCTACATGGACTTATCCCGATACAGCCCTGGGTGCTGGAGCAGCCGTGTGGAGAGCCCTGCTAGTGCTGAGATGCTTGCTCATTTACTGACTCAGCTTTCCTCCTGCAGTTGGCATCATTGCCTCTGTTTTGTGAGGTGGAGGACTTTGTGGACTGGTGTTGGGTTAATGGGTTAATGTTGGACTTGTGGGCTTGGGCAGCATTGGGTTGGGATGTTTTTGTGATGCACATTTTCTTTACATAAAACTCTCTCTTATACATGAGTTGCTGTGGATTTGTTTCTCCAAAGTACCTAGACTAATACAGGAAGAAAAGAAAAAAATTTTAATTCAGTCTGGGTAGGAAAAAACACATAGCTCTATCCACATTTGGCATATTAGCCATTTGTTCTACTTTACAAATCTCCCACAATCCCCTGCCATCCTTCTAGTCTTGCTCCACTTGGTCCCTTGAGTTCCGTTTGCCTTCCATTTCTGTCGCTGCTGCTCTGGGCAGAGCTCATTTCCTGTTTCCCAGAACATGATAACGGTCTCGTCACCCAGTTGATTTTCCTGCTGTCCAGTCTCTCTCTGACCTATTTCTGGAAGTACAAAGGCTGGAATAATCCACTTGAATGACGTTTCCCCTTTGCTTAAAAGGCCCCGGCTCACTGACCTAATGCTATTACTCAAGAGGCCTCAGCTTGACCTGGTTACAGGCTGCCTTGGCAGGGTAGGTGGGGAGAAGGGAGAACCAGAATTTGTCCATGCTTCCTCCCCAAGCCTGGCCCTGATAGCAGGCAGGCCTTCTCGGGGTTAGTTTGATGAATTAGCCCCACAGTACCACGTGGCGTTCCACTAAAGATTATTCCGGCTCCACCACTGGCCTTGAACTACTTCCATCACACTGGGTCACTTCACCTGTCCCACAGATGGTCTTCCTTCTTCCCCCTTAGGGTGATTATGTGAGGTGATGGCCAAGCATTTGGTGGTCAGTAGCTGGTTACCTTCAACCCCACTGCCCAAGCACTGCCCTCTGTGAGAGCATTGGCAGATGTCTCCTATGCAGCCTTCTCAACTCTAAGTTCAGCCCAACTCGTGAGCTCCCCATCATCTCTCTAGCCCCATGGTGACTACAGGGCCA